AGGAGATGATGCAGCCAGCCGGACACCTGTGTGTTTTGGGCTACTAATTGCCTACTTCTCTGGCAACCACTACCACATATCCTTGGTTGCCGACGCGAGTATGACGCAAGCGGTTTTCCTCTGTAAAATTTTCTCCAAGGCCGAGTCTAATTCAAAATCAAGCTGAACGATAAGATCCTCATCGAAGTGAGCATTTTTTTTCACCACTGCAAGTTACCAAAGTAAAGTGTACTACACGCTCTACAAGTACGCTCTGAAAATTAAAAGCTGTTATTGAAAGTTATGGACTTTGAGACGAGGATTTTGAATTATACTCTTTACTAGAGTCTTGGTTAAAAATTTATGGTGGAAAGCCGCTTGCGTCGGCAACTGAGGATATGTGGAAGTGGTTGCCAGAAAAGTAGGCAAATAGTAGCCCAAACACATGACAGGTGTGCGGCTGGCTGCGTCCCATCCTGCATACTGGGGCAGTTACTTAACATCTGTGGCAGTGGCGGATCCAGAGGCGGCCTCGGAAAGGGGGGGGGGGTAGAACTTTTTGTTTACTAACAGGGGCAACGACATTTTGAATTAGGAGAAGAATTTCAAGAGGAAAACCGCTTGCGTCATGCTCGCGTTGGCAACTAAGGATATGTGGTAGTGGTTGCCAGAAAAGCAGGCAAATAGTAGCCCAAACACACAGGTGTGCGGCTGCACTGTGAAAATTTGTTGTCACTTTATGACGAAAACGTGGATGACATTTTGATCACTTTGAAATAATGACAATCTCCTCACAAATTGATGACATTTTCATCAAAGCTCCTATACATATTGCATGGGCGGGGGAACAATATCATTAATTGACTTGATGACATCCTTGTGAGGAACATTAGCCTTAACATTGACATCAAGTGATGACGCAAATTTTCACAGTGTGGCTGCATCACCTCCTGCATTCTAGGCAGTTACTCAACAGCTGTGGAAATTAAGGGGAGGTTCTGGTGAAAATCTTGCCATTTTCCAAATGGATCCTACAGTCATAATTTGTTTGGAATATAAAATTTTTCATTGAGGAGACTAAAAATTGACTTTTGAAGGCACATGCCAGGCGGAAAAACCCAGCCGAGAGTCTGTTTGAGCCTATTTGGCTGTATCTTAAAAAATCTCCTTGCGCATACTATTTTGTCGTAAAAGGTTGACCTTGACATTTTTCACTTCTTCGACTCATTTTCAAAAGATACCGGCATGCAGAGCTCAAAACTTCCATTATATTATTAGTTATTAGCTTTTAAAGCTGAAAAGTCCCTAAAATTTGACTATTTTGTACATTTTTGATCAATTATAGTGAAATGCTTGGTAAGAAAGCTTGCGAATAAAAATGCAATTGACATTTTGAGATGTGCATGCCGGCATTTTAAAAAAATGAATCGAAGAAGTGAAAATGTTCTAAGCCAACCTTTTACGACAAAATAGTATGCGCAAGAAGATTTTTAAGTTATAGCCTAATGGGAGAAAAAGGCTCTGCGACTGGGGTTCAGGGCATGGAATGTGCCTCCCAATGAAAATTTTAATAAATACTTGATAAGACATCAAATTTTTACAAATTTTCACAGTGGGACCTATTTAGGAGAAAATAGCATTTTCACCAGAACCTCCCCTTAAGTTGCCTTGTAGGCAACAGCCCGCCGCTCACCAGTGTGTTTGGGATACTTTTAGCCAACTCCTCATTGATATATTAGGGCAAGATAAACCGAATGATGTAGTCAAAATTTACATTCGCCATGTTTAAAATCCGAGGATTCGAGCGTGAAGTAACTCGACCTTTCAGGGAGGCCTCAGATATCGATCGCTGCCTGTACACGGAGCAGGCGGTCTATGAATAGGGTTGGCTGCCTTTGATGTCACTTTAATTCGGGTCCTTCACTGCAAAATCACCATTTTCGGGTGCCCTGTTTTACTTTCCCCCCTACAAAACCACAAAACCCAAGAACTTCTTGAGATACTTTAAGACAATGAAGTAGGGACCTCAATGGACCTTCAGGACAAAATTTCAAAATCGAAGATGGCGTTCGGTGGGAACTACACTGTAAAGTTCACTGTTTCTTCGTAGAGTGAACTTTCCTATTTTCACATCTATCGACACTAAACGGACGCCATTTTATGCGAAATTTCATTTCCTCCACCTACGCCCCTCCCATGAGCACAGAAGTGAACACTTTTTACATTTCTAGGTCTCATGAGGAGCCAAGATACCCAATTTTGGGCGAGGTTAACCCCTCGCCAAACGACAAGTTTCCTCACCATTTGGGCGAAAAGTATCCTCGCCAAAAATGAGGTATGGCTATATCCCGGAAGTATGGAATTTAGGCCAAACACCATTTTAGGGGGGGCATCGATCTTCACTCACTGAACTATCACCGGCGATCCACCAACTTTGGTCCAACTAAACGCCGCGCAGACATCATGGCTTTGGCTCTCGTTGACTTGGCATGGAATGACCCTACAGGTTATTCCGTACTCCACTCCTGTGGCACGGTAAATCCCGTACAAAGTACAGTAGATCCTGTACTCTGAACTACAGTGACAGCTGTACTAATCACTACAGGATTTACTGTGATTTTTGGCCCGTCCCGTTTATTTTTTGTAAAAAAATGACGGAGGGACGGGCATATAGTATGATGCATGCTGTGCGTCCGTCCGTTCGTTCGTCCGTCCGTCCGAGGACTTCCCGTCGTCCGATCTTGACCAAATTTGGTATGCAGCCTCCTTGGGTGACCCTAAGAACCGCCCGGTGGCAGCAAATTCGATCCGACCCCCGGGGGGCGCTGCTGCAGGGCATCATGGTCTACAGGGGGTCGAGGAGGATTTCGGCAACGGATACAGCTAGGAGGGCATGTAGGGGTGTTTTGGAATCAGGGTGACAGGACAAAACCAACTGTGCAATATCAAGCGAATCGGAGAAGTATGGGCCCGGGTTCAAGCGGGGTATTTTTAGAACATTTTTTTTATTCGGGGTTTGCATTGTTTCTGATGTTTTTGAGGGTGCTGATGACAAAAATAACGAAAATCAGGTTCAAATCCCGTCAGGTGAAATTCAACATTTCTTAATGTACGGGACGGGCCAAAGTTGCCGATGTATATCGCTACTTTTCCTGTTATTTCCTACAGTGCACCTTCTTTACCCCAAACCTTGTAAAACTTAATTTTTTGATTCTTTCATATCGCTGAGTGGTTTAAGAACATAAAATATCTTTTTCACATATTGCACCCTTTCCCATTGCTTTGTGAGACGTCATGCCGTTGTTTGACGTGAATTTCGTGTCACGGCAAGTTTTGGCGCGATTTTTCGTCACGCCATAAGTGTGCCATGTACCCGACCATTCAATTTTCCGTGAATGCAAAGGGGGTGCATGTTCGCATTGCATTTTCCAAGCAAAGGCTCCGACGACTTCATACTTCACCCAAAAATTGTCTCTTATGTCTTTTTTGTTGATACGTTTCCCGTAAAGGTGGGAAAGATCGTAAGGCCTAGATGGTTGAAAGGCTGACGCGCATGTTCACTGATACGGTTCCATCCGATGGACAGGGGTCGATTTTATGGACGATTTCCCAAAGTACGGGCCCCACGCTGTGAAAAGTTCATTTCCGGAATTAATACAGGTACATTGGCAAAAAGTTGAAAAAGTACCTGCGTTAATTCACGGTTCTTGTTAGTCTTGATGGGTATTGTTCAGAGGTTTTTGGTGATTCTCAAAGATTCTGCGAAAAAACCCCGAACATTCCTCTCACGAAGATTGTTCAGTTTGTGCGAATATTCCAAATGAATTAACAAAAGGAAAAATTTAGCAACACTTTTTCTGGAATGGCATCATTGTTACAATGTTGGTGGCGGGGGCAAAGTTTTTTAAGCCGGGGGGAGGGGCGTGTCGCGCCGGTACGTAGTCCGCGAGGACAACCCTCGGCCGCACGGGGAAAACCTTACAAACTAATTTGGGCCGTACAAAAAAAAGTAGTTTGTATAACAAAGTATTTAAGCACACATAAGCTTAAAAAGAAAATACTTCGTTTTTACGAATATTTCTTTGTATAACAAAGTATTTTTGGGTTTTTTATATGAATGCTCAAAATACTTCGTAGGGTTTTTAAAAGTGCGGATCTGTTTGGGGTTACACAGCCGTGTTTACACTAACATCTCAGGCCGAGGGGGGGATATAACAGCCCACGGCCTCCACTCGGGGGAGCAGATACCGCGTGCCTCCCGGGGTGGACTTACTGTCGCATAACCCTTTGTGTATTCATTTACCCTATCCGACACCACCCCCGGGGCTACGACAAAACGTGAAAAGCAGCGCCACTACTGGTCAGTGTCTCGGTTTGGGTACCCCCTGACCACTTGTTAAAAACGTCCTGGCAAGACTTATCGAAAACCGCAATAAATGTTTTTTTAGTC